TTTAGGGTTTAGAGTTCATAGGGTTTTATGGCTAAGCGCAAAACTCCCGAGGCTTCGAAGGTAGGTTTTGGGCTGTCACATAAAGAGCCCAGGCTCGGAAATGGCACTTCTGTAGGGGCTCAGGGCTTGGGGGTGTTTGGTTTAGGGTATTGGGTTTAGGGGTTTAGGGTTCAGGGTTTAGGGGTTTAGGGGTGTAGGGTGTAGGATTTCGCAGCCTTGGGTAAGTGCATCTGCTTCCTAGTCGTGGGGCTTCTTGCATAGACTTGTTTGCTCAGGATGCACATGAGGAATGCATGTTCTTCCCCATGATCCTTTCTCAGCCCTGAGCTTCAAGCACCTACAAGGCCCTAACCCCCAAACCCCCCCAACGCAAAAATCAGAACCGACAAGACCTACAGTAAACCCCAAAAAGTTGGAAAGCGGTTTAAGGACAATTAGTGCTGGGATTCCCCAATACATGACTCTTAAGGATTGAGGCTATTGGGTTTCCAACTTTTGGGCCTCTACTGTCGATGGTTTTTGTCGCTGCCCTAATCCTTAAGCGCCGTCTGGACTAACCCTAGACCCCAAACCCAAAAACTATAAACCCTAAACCAAAACTATAAACCCTAAACCCTGAACCAAAACTATAAACCCTAAACCCTAAACCCAAAACTATAAACCCTAAACCAAAACTATAACCCCCCACCCCCCAAGGCCCCAAATCCTAAACCCAAAACCATAAGCCATAAGCTGAAGACCCGAACATAACTCTCCAATGCTTCTCTCGAAGTGCCTCGGAAAGGCGCATCAGATCAACCTGGTCCTGTCAAAAATGGCTTCAGGACTTCGGGCTTAGGGCTTAGGGTTTACGGACTTAGGGCCTAGGGTTTAAGGACTTAGTGCTTAAGGACTTTAGGGTTTATGGCTTAAGGACTTAAGGTTCAGGGTTTTTGACTGTGGGTTTGGGGTTCAAGGACTTAAGGGTTAGGGCTTAGGGGTTCACACGTTGATATCGGGCCGCGTGGCGGCGGGCCTGTATGTTTTAAGGCATACACTGCAAGTGCTGTAAATTACATGACGTCGTGCGTGTGGCCGTGGAAATGGAAGGATTCGTGCTT